CCGGTACTAGAACTTGAAGTGCTTGAAATAAGCGCCATTTGAAACAAAGTTGCTCAAATTTAACCACAAATAAGCGCCACCATGACGTGAAAGTGTAACAAAGTGGCGCCTAATTGAAGACAAATACGGTATGTGCCAAATTTAAATGAAAACTGACAGAGCGCGTTCAAGATACTGCATAAAAAAACAAAACAAGATGCCTGCCAGTCAACCATCTTTGATCCAATTGCGAAATAAATCGTCATGGACATGTATCCTAACATGTATAATCTATGTACAAAGTTTGAATGACAACTGACAAAGCATGTCCAAAATATAACATTTTCAAAAAACAAGATGGCCGCCAGTCGGCCATTTTTAATCGAATCGCTAAACCACTGCATGTGCATATGTCCCACATAAGGTACTAGGCACATGCAAAGAATGAACGGAATCGGTCCACAGGATTCTGAAATATGACTCTGGACAGACTGATGCACGGACGGACGAACGGACAGACACACGGACGGACGGACGGACAGACTCAGAATCCACTGCATGTGCATATGTCCCACATAAAGTACTAGGCACATGCAAAGAATGAACGGAATCGGTTCAAGGGATTCTGAGATATTACTCCAGATGAATGCACGGACGGAGACCAAATTATAAGTCCCCGTTTTCGGACTTTGTCCGAACAGGGACTAATAACTTAAAAATGACCAAAACAAATTCGAAAAACTTTTATTTTTGTGAGATGTACATTTTGCAATGCAGGAAAAATTGAATAAAAACACTGTAGATATGACAATATCACTGATGTTTTATAAACAGGCAAGTCACAGTAATTTTTGTAAAATTTAATTTGATTCTATCACACATCACAGGTGGCAAGTTGACAGAAGTAACATAAACACTTCTTTTGTAGATGGAAATAAAAAGGATTATATTTACTTGTCCCAGGGATTGAGTTTCACGGCCCATACTCTGTCTTGTGCATGCAATGTATAATGACAAACACCATTCTCTTTCGACCATAATTTGATTGTCTGATCTCTTGAACCTGATACAATTAAGTCTTGTTTGAAATCTACACAATTCACGTCCGCTGTGTGTCCGAGATATACATGACGCTTTCTTCCAGTACGATGGTTCCAGGATATAACGGCTCCATCCCTGAAGGGAAATTAAAAGAGAATATGGTAAATATGTAAACGTATATACGTGGCATGAATATTTTTTTATATAAAAAATTCATAAATGTTTAATTATACAAACGGTTGAAAACAATTTGACTAATCACAACGCATTTAATAGCAAGACCTTACTGCCCATATAGAATAACTTTCACAAGAATAAATCGGCCAATAATTGAAAGATATGCGCAAAGACTCATAGGATACCAAATGTCTTCTATAGACAATGGAAGCATATTTTGGGGATTTTCCATAAAGAAACTTTCAATGCCTTCATGAAATTCACTGTAGCAGTAGGTTCTTCTGGGATAAATTTCTATGAGAGGTGTTCATGCCTATATGAAACTGACTGTATCATTTCATTCATTGTTTAAACACGCGAGACACACTCACATCAAAGTAGGCAAGGATTTTATCAGAATTGATAATAGGTTGAAAGTACTCAAGGTATCACAAGAAAAATATATCATGAAAACTTTATCAATGATGACAGCATCAAACCCTTATTAACCCAACTGTCCAATATCATTACAGACATACAACACAATTTTTTTTTAATTTTACAAAAAAAAAATATTTAGATGAAGTATCTAAAATTTCTGAGCGCCTGAGCTTGTCATTTTAGTAATTTTCGTTTGTTTACAGGCAAAAGCTTAGAATAAATGAAAATTGCTCTACAACATGTATATACTCAATCCCAATACTGAGATGATCTAAACCACTTCTACACTTCACCACAACAGAGTACTCCTCTCCTGAGACATCATAACATTTCTGTAATCTATTCAAACCATGTAGCATCTCATTTAAATATTCATTGACAAACCTCAAAATGCCAGCTGAAAATACAGAAAGTTTTGAATAAATTACCAGCAGATGGAGATAATGAAAAGATGAATAGAAAACCAGGTTCTAACTCTCAGAGCAGATACAAAAAGTTTGGAAAAGTATGGGTATAAACTTCAGACAAAGTGTGTTAATGTTATCAATAATCTAATATTGAGTGAAACAACATAATTGTATCAAGTTGAAAAATATACTGACTGTAATTATGATTACACTACATCGATCTAACAGCTATCACTATGTTAGGCAAAGTGAGGAAAATCTACTTGTTAGATTTCAACTTCACTTGTCAGATAACTGCTTTCAATTGCTGCACTCACCGATTAACCTACTTTTCAAAGCATACGATGATGACACTGTCAATGACTTTACTAACACACTTTTTTCCTTCATTCTTTTGATGTACGCGATGATTGCGATGAGTAGTGGAAATTTGAGAAGAGCATACACCATATAAGTAGCCAATACAGAAATATACGAAATGATAAAAGTATTGACACAAACTGTGCAGAAAAGAAGATTGCTTGATTGCAAAAACAGAGACCACAAATAAAAGAGATTTAGAAAACAAACAAACACTAGATACATACTAGTAGACAAACAAATTGGCCGAGCATACTTGTTGACACCCCTGAAGGAGGCATCAAGTAACAATCCATCAAGAAATTCAAAGGCTTCAGCTTTTCACGGCTCTACCAAGTATTTATGGTGTCTGTATGTGCTCTTTGTCAAGTATCCACAAATCACTTTCATCAACAACAGAAGTGGAAAATAAAAATACTGCTGAGCCTTGTGGGAGGTAAAGAAGTCTTTAGGAGTGAGACGGTTAACAAAGCCATGTTTTTTTTATTATTAAGAATAAGGTCCCAGGAAATTATTGATCAAAATTAATTGTTGTAATTTTCCGAATTTATATACAGTCTAATTTATTGTGTGCAGTTTTTTATTTCACTCATATAAAACACACAAAGAAATAGGTCCAAATCATCCAAAATTTTATTGTTTTGAGGATATAATTTATGCATTTACATACAATTTACATAATTAATGAGGTCATACACCAAATGAATACATATCAGTCTATACATAACTTTTTACACAACACTGATCTATTGATTTTATTGTCATTTGAAAACACAACATGTAATGAATGTCATAAACAGATCACTAACCTATTTCGTGTTAAGAAACCTACTGTATTTGCTCTATAACAAGCATAACTTCAATAGAAGCAATACTCAAGCCAAAAATTATATGCTGGATCATAGAAATATCACTTACTTTGACCATAAACACACCTCTGTCATTTGTGTAAATAAAGCACATGGCTACTAACAGAACCAGCATGCAGGAATGGCATCGTAATATTATGACATTGCATACATGCAGGATAGCAAAATGCATTCAAAATGCTACAAAATGTATCATGTATACAAATATGGTGTTTAAACGTGGGGGAAAAGCCAGCTCCAAAGGGGAACCGGTGTTAAAAAAATACGTGTAAACAGACGAAGACGGCGTCGCGCCATCTTAATTGAAGCCGCTCTAAAGGTGGTGGTTTCGAGACAGCACCCCGATCTAAACAAGACCTTGCAATAGGTGTAAACACTTGAAGCCGTCTTTGAAGAGCGCCATCACGTGACCAGCCTCGTGCTGACGCTTAACTTTCACATTTTGTCTATTCTCGGGGGGGGGGGGGGAGCATCCGGTCATTTTCAACGCATGGCAACCATTACAGTGAAAACAAAGGCCGAAAACCCTCAGAAAACGATACTTTGAGAGATAGTTGTTGAGACTCCCCTGAACAGTGTAACAAGATTACCTTTGTGTGTGTATCGCATATAAATTTGATTGTTCAGAATTACTTCAAAGTTGAGTTCCTGCTGTATTCTCGAATTTTCACTGATTCTTCGCACAGCGTTCTGCGTTCCTCAAGCAGCGCGCGCAGAGCCCATAGAAATGCGTGGTACAGTGGTACGTGTCTTAGCAACGTGGAACGTCTTGTGACGTTGCTCCGCCCCCGAGGATAGTATTCTCCGCTTTTCTACTGAAGATGGCGCAAAAAATGATGACGTCATGCCGATCTAAACTAAACCAGCAATACGTGTAAATGCTCCAGAGTTTTAAACCACGGATAAGGATTATTGACTGACCTAGTTTAGGCTAGCCTTCTCCCCATGTGTAAACACCATAATAGTTTATCAGGTCTTTTCTTTGTATACAATGTATCAGTTTGTATAGATAAAATTGATACATGGGAACACTAAATGTAAGCTACAATATAATATATAACCCATTGACATATAGTAATATTTCAAAATCTACATTAGATGAAAAATATAAACTATATTAACCTACAAGGGCCTGACTAAATGCTTGTTTACACGTACTTATAATAAAAATGAATTTCTTGAATTGCAGCTTGCCTTCAAATTTTGTATCTAATCTACATGTAGATCTGATATGTTTAAATGCAAAGATAACAATCACAAGCACATGCATTGTTGGACTGTCACTTTTACTAGATGAATGTCTCAGGTATTTTCCTGTCACAAAAATAATAAATTCAAAGTTGCATTTCCACTTAGTATGATCTGCAGGAAAACTCTTATTGAACCCAGTATCATAAGATCTTTCGATTTTGTATGGTTCATTAGAATCTTATCCAACATAATCCTGAAATCAAAAGTAGAATTACCCGCTTAAATACAAATAAATGGACTTGAGTTATCACAAAAATGAAATTCAAGTGTGGTTAGACATGACAGCATTTAATGCAGGCTAGCTTCACAACTCCAATATTTCAGGATATGTGGCTATTGAACGGTTTTTATCATTTATTAATAGCAAACAGCTTATACGCACGACAGGTCCACAGCCAAATACTGTATATATATGATACACATGCAGGGGTAATCTTGTTACACTATACACAGTGTTCTGATAGTTTTCAGCCTTTGTTTTCATCGTGATGGTTGCCAGGCGGTGAAAATCCACAGACGTCCACCCTGAGGTAACTTACAGGATAAACTTACACATAACTTACTGATTGGTAAATTGGCCAGATATACATGTCCCATATATTCCATATATAAACTACAGGAGAGTGGCATCCTGCCAGCTGTACCACACAATTCATACAGTCTCATTGGAGTAAAGAGATACTCAACCAAATAAGCCATATAATCCCTATAGCACCACATAATCTACACATAACTTAACCACCATCTAACACAGAAAGTACATTACTATCAGTACACAGAGTATCCACTGAAGCTACAAGGACAACAACTCCCTATTCTATTTCAGAGTTTGAACTGCACGGAGGCATCAATGATAAATGCCCAAGCACTTTGGGATGATGCCCTATGAAAAAAATAATAATTACTTTATGCTAAGACAATTTTATCAAATCATACCTTGAAAATAGATGACCTCTCAAATGTGCTATTTATAATAGATGCACGTCCCTCTGGTCTGCCTAGCTGAAATCATGCAAGATGCATGCCTATATATCTGCGCATCATTTCACATTCAAGTTGTAATATAAAAGTCAAGGATGTGCAATCTCTGTAGAGTTCACCTAGTTGAGGTCAACACTTTGTACATCAAAATACTTTCCAATTGACTGTCAACATTGATATGCATATCAAATCATCATCCATAATGTCATCAATCATTCACATTAATAAAATCCTTCAATGCCAATGAAAGATTAGAAATTATTACATAGCACCCAAAACAATAAAAATAAAATTTAGCATTACGTAAAAAATTATTTATATTTGTTAAAATTTTCCTAAGACCTTATTTGGGGTAAGCTAAATAACCAGCATGAAACGCATTCTAGATTATTTATGGCATATGAGAATACTTTTTTTTAGTTTACATTAGATATGGTAGAAAAACAGCAGGTGAGGGAATCATGGAAGCAAACAGTTGCACAGGTACAAATCTTGTAAAATGTTATCCTCTGACATTTTTAACCATTATGACTCATTAAATTATTACAAGCACAAAAAAGAAAAGCTTATCACAAGAATACTGCAAAGTATGCACTCAGGCAGTACAGGGTCACATCAGTCCATAAGATCACCTTACTACCTTCAGCATACTTCAGGGTATCTTTGGGATAACCTTTTAATATTTTCAAACTTAAAAACTTTTTTGTAAATTTTAAATTACCCAAACAATCTCATTGCAGGTAATTCAAACAAATCTATCCAAACTGAATACCTTTTTCAGTCTTGCAAAGACAAATAATACAAATACCTCATACTGTAAACTTGTAACTTTCCTGTGTGTGTTAACTTACCTCCCACCGCTGATAAGTACTGGTCCTCGTTTCACAAATCGACAGACATCATCCTGATGCCCCACACACAAGGCTCTTGGAGATCTTGGTATCTCACCATTAGGTTTGATTTTATAACAACAAATGTCGGATCCAAAAGTTAAAAATAAATGCTGATCTTCCACCTGTAACCATGGTAATAAACTGAAAAAAAAGGAAGAGAATAATAGGTTTATTATTTTATGTGGTATCACAATTTCAGGGTTAAGAACACAAGCACATTTTCTCAACAGCTTACTCAGCAAAAGTGCTCTTAAAATTGAAATCTTTCAAGCAGAACAGCTGTCGTCAAACATTGACGGCAAAATAGGGTGAAGGTGGCAAACTACGTCATATGCATAGTTTTGAATGATTTCCGCAGACGTAAGCACTGGTCGGTACTTCTTACAGCAAAAGCAAAGAAAAAACTTCAAAAAGTTGGAAATAATTGATAACTCAACAATATAGCCATACAAAATGCAAAATTAATTTTACAGAAAGTTACAAGGTTTACATATTACTAAAGAGTAAAAAAGTGTGGCATTAAAGAAATTCTAGTAAAAATAGAGTCAGTGACATAATTTAATATAAAACATTCATCAACAAAAAAGTGTACATGTGAAACGGAAATCGGGATTTATTCGGATGTACTTAATAATTTTCGTGATTCGATGATTTTACAGCATTTACGAAGACAAAATTTTCGCAAAAGTCGCTGACATTTTGTGTCATGACCCCAAAAAAATGATGACAGCTTTACTTGCGAAAATGTTTCTCTCGCATTATTTTGCTGGTTAATTTCTTATTGACAAACTTAGACATCAGTTTGTCGGTGCTTTTGACATATCGAGTACATGTCAATGTTTGTTTTTGTGGGCAATTCGTGCCAAAAAGGAGTCTGAAAATACGGTTATTTACATGATACAAAGATTTATGTTTTCATATGTCACACGTCGCAATGTTCAAAGCTATTACGTCTCAGACAATAGCTCCACTGTCTGATATACTCAAAATTAAATAATAATTTTCAGTGAAAAATTTTAATAAATTTAGTATTAAAATTCATTCAGATTCACCCAGTTCCTCTATTACAATATACCAATAAGCAGACATAACCAAGGTAACAGAAGTTAATTCAGGAAATTCTGCTATTGACAACCTCGCCATAAAAAAAAATGAATGGTATGTACTGTATATTTACACCAATCACCTACGTCAACAGACCGCATATCAATAATACAAGAAATCACAAGAATGTAACAAACCATAAATTAGGTATTCAAGAGCTCGTGAGATTGGAAGCGTGAGATTAGAAGCATTTGTACACACTTAATCATCCCTCGCAGTCCAGTATTGGTAATCAGACGTATGCGAGAAAAGAAGGTGAGAATAAGCAATTGTTTTATATCAAATCCATCTTGCATTTTTTCTAGGTGAGGTTATGCCCTCAATAATGTGTTATACGACATTATCCTGATTAGAAATGCCACCTCGCTATGTATCC